GCCCACTTGAATGCAAATTTATTTCTTTTTTATTGATGCACTTTTACATCTTATTATCAATGTAAATATGCATTGGAAAATGTGTTTTCTGTCATTTGTTAATGCATAATTGTATTGTTGCCAAACACAAGCAAAAGTGAACTAAATTGCAAATTTACCCTGAACCGAGATTTACACTCCATTTGCATCATTTCCAAATGCAGCCTTTGGAGATCACATCAGCACCCCCAAGCGCCCACATGCCCATCTCAGCGTGCATTGGAAGTGTCCATGGGACTGCTCTGTGGGGTGCTGATGTGAACTCGAGTATTAGTGGCTAGCAATAGCATGACTGCTGCTACTATAAGTAGGGGTGCAAGTCAGGTCAGGTTGAGGTCAACCCTAACCCAACCCAAGTTGTTGAACCCTCAACCCTAAAACTTTGAGGTGGGTTAGGATTAGGTTGGCCTAATTTCTCTACTTTTTACCAAATGTACTTATTTCCTAGACTCTAAGGATTCATGTTAGTTCAATTTTAGCATTATGTGTAAAAGAATATGGTTATCATGTTTTAGAAAAAATACTAGCAGGCCATGTGATACACATGACTTGTTAAGCGAAAACTAAATAATAGAAACACATAAGATACAATTGTTTTATACTTTTTAATTTTTAAATAATTAATAATTATTTATATTTTGAGTTTGTCAATCATATAAAAAAGATATGATATCTGAAAAAATTTTGACCAATAAACTATTATCATAAACGTGGTAGCCAATAGATGTTATTTATCAAAATTCATGGGTGGATTTCCATTGGTCAAAACTCTTTTGATACTACATCTTTCCTGCATCATAGATTTTCCTTTATATACTACTATTAATAATTCTTTACAACACAAAAATAACAATAATTAATTTTAGCTAGCACTGTTCATCATACTGATGAAACCAACCAACTTGACTCGAGTTKGTTGATTTTTTAGTATTTTTGGTYGGCTTTGGTTTAACAATTTCCCAACCTGATAAGGTTAGATAAGTTTCGCTTTGGTCATTTGTAAATTGACCATAATTGAATGACCTGACCATAGATATATTTATATTTTATATTTTATATTTTAATATAATTTTTAATACAAAGAAAGTGGAAAAATTCCCATGAATTTAATTTTCAAATTTATTTTTT